GATAATCTGGCATTACATAGCCCATATTCTTTTTGGCAGCACTAGGCTGGAGTCAAGTTATAGTTGTCTGTTGAGATTGGACTTATTCATTCTCTGGGTCTCTATGGATCCTGCTGGTCTGCTGCTTCACTGCTTTGGGTTACCTTTCTGACTTCAAAGCATTATTTAGATGTAGTCTAATGACAGTCATACCTCCTCAGTATTGTCCTTTGTGTCATTGTCAGAAAAACATGGGAGGTCAGAGGGCCATGGTTTTACTTTAGGACATAATTTCTAATATTTTACCTATTATAGATAATTTTTTATTGTCAAATAGTAAGTAATGGGTGCCTTTTAATGAGAACAGAAGCATGCTAGTGAAAAGTACAAAGGGAATATGTCAGTATCTTGCTTCATTGGTAAGATTTTGAGGATAGTTCTGATTAGCAAAGTATCTTAATTTCTGGTAAATCAACAGAAAGAAGTAAGTCTCTGAATTATAAATGCGAAAACTGAGGCATAAGGAAAAGTTGACTAGGTTAAGATATTTTGAAAAGTAGTAAGATAATATTTATGTAACAGTTATGTAACAACTTAACGTTTATAGAATATAGCCTGTTCATTTATCTGAAATTTATAATTGTTTATATTAACATCATTCTTTTGGAGCAAGAAGAGGATATATCATCTCTTGTTATAAATCTGTATTTTAGGTCTTTTTCCTTCAATGACTATGTATGACATATAAAAGGTAGAAAATAAAATAAATAAATCAAGAGCTTAAATTTTATATAATTTATTTTTATTGTGAAAAAAAAAGATTAGTATCTTATTATTAGTGCATTCCTTTGTTTTCCAGGGGGAAAAAGTGTATTTGACCTCTACCTAGTTTTCTCAAATAAAATATTAAACTACTAGAAAGAAAAAAAAGAAACAATAGTCTTGAAGTAAAGGTGAATCTAATCCTCAGGAAACAGTGGGAAAACAAGCTTCTGTACATAATTGAACTTAAATTAGTTTATACCTAAAAATAAGTTTGGAGGTGGTTCAGAGAAGGTTTAACAAATACAGGGCCCAGCACAAACAGCATCCCTTTTTTTATTACAAATTCTTTTATTACAAAATCATAAGCATGTAATTCTGTAACATAACAATATTACATTCAAGCTCAACACATGGCATTTTAGGTTCAAATCAAACGTTCAAATCAAAACTATAAATTATTACACCCATATCATTGCCTACCAACTACAGTCAAGAAGGCGTTACTTCTGACAGGCCCTGTATAAACCAGAGTAAATTACCAAGATCTCTTATATACCCATTATATTAAAAACATTGTGCTAGGAGCCACAATTGTGGAGGAATTAATGTATGAAGCATTGTGCTTTAAAAAATTACAGTCCGATAAGACATGTCCACAAAGAGTGAAATAATTTCAGGTAATATATGTTAGGTTTTCATGAATGATATGGTAAGTGCTACAAATATGGATAAGAATTGAGATTTTGGAAAGTAGGGAAAAGCCTAAACACATCTACCCCCTCAGGGAAAAGGGAACTTGGAAATAGGATTCAAATTCTAAGAGAGCAAAAGCACAGGAAAAAGCCAAGGGGCAGGCTTAGGTACTTTGTTAGTTTAGGTTTTTATTGATTAGAAACTAGTTTGTCCTAGGCAAGAATGGAAGAAGTCTCTGAAAAGGTATTATGAAAGAAGACATAGCTATCTTCTCTCCCCATTGATGTTGCTATCAGTGAAACTGATGGCAGAGATTGTTGGCCAAGCTCTCTTCTTTATTCTAGCTGGATTTTGTGGTTCCGTATTCTAGCTTTAGCAGATACTAATTCCATGATCTTGGGCAAAGGACTTAATTTCTTACACCCTCACTTCCCTTATCTGTAAGATAGGGATATTCACTACTTTATAGAATTATTGTGAAGCTTAGAGATAAAAGTGAACAGGAAAAAATTTTTTTTTGAATTTTTCAAAATTTTGGGTCATAAGGTAGTTTTAATATTTTTTAAAAATTTCCACACTGTAGGAAAAAATTTTTTAAACAAACTAATCAGCACATAAGTTAAAGCTGTTATTATTGTTTTATTTTATATCTTAGATCGTTCTCTTGGATTTATCTACCTTCTCTTCTGCTTTCTACTTTCTCGTCAGAACTCGGTGACACTCAGGCTCAGTTCTGATTTTTCTCTTTAAAATTACTTCATCAGTTGACACTGACAGTTATTTCTCTAAGACCTCTCCAAAACCTCTCTCTCCAAACCTCTTTCAAGCATCTAAAATTTAACACCTTAATTATCTTTTATCTTTTTTAAAATATATTTTATTGATTATGCTATTACAGTTGTCCCATTTTCCCCCTTCACTCCCCTCCACCAAGTACACCCTCTCCCACCCACATTCCCCCCTTTATTTCATGTCCATGTGTCTTACTTATACATTCTTTAGCTTCTACATTTCCCATACTATTCTTACCCTCCCCCTGTCTATTTTCAACCTACATTCTATGCTACTTATTCTCTGTACCTTTTCCCCCTCTCTTCTCCTCCCACTCCACTGTTGCTAACCCTTCATGTGATCTCCATTTCTGTGGTTCTGTTCCTGTTCTCGTTGTTTGCTTAGTTTCTTTTGGTTTTGCTTTAGGTGTGGTTGTTAATAATTGTGAGTTTGCTGTCCTTATACTATACATGTTTTTTCTTTATCTTCTTTTCTTAGATAAGTCCCTTTAACATTTCATAAAATAAGGGCTTGGTGATGATGAACTCCTTTAACTTGACTTTATCTGAGAAGCACTTTATCTCCCCTTCCATTCTAAATGAAAGCTTTGCTGGAAAGAGTAATCTGGGATATAGGTCCTTGTCTTTCATGACTTGGAATATTTCTTTCCAGCCCCTTCTTGCCTGTAAGGTCTCTTTTGAGAAATCAGCTGACAGTCTGATGGGAACTCCTTTGTAGGTTACTGTCCCCTTATCTCTGGCTGTTTCTAGGATTCTCTCCTTCATTTTTACTTTGGCTAATGGAATTATGATGTGCCTTGGTATGTTTCTTCTTGGGTCCAACTTCTTTGGGGCTCTCTGAGCTTCCTGGATTTCCTGGAAGTCTATTTCCTTAGCCAGACTGGGGAAGTTCTCCTTTATTATTTGTTCAAATACATGCTCAATCTGTTGCTTTTCCTCTCCCCCTTCTGGTACCCCTATAATTCGGATGTTGGAACGTTTAAAGATGTCCTGGAGGTTCCTAAGCTTCTCCTCGTTTTTTTGAATTCCTATTTCTTCATTCTTTCCTGCTTGGTTTTTTTTTTTTTTCTTCCTTCTGTTCCACTCTATTGTTTTGAGTCCCAGTTTCCTTCCCATCCCCATTGGTTCTCTGTGCATCTTCCTTCATCTCTTTTATGATAACCTGCATTTTTTCATGTAATTTGCGCCCAAAATCAACCAATTCTGTGAGCTTCCTGATCACCAGTGTTTTGAACTGTGCATCTGATAGATTGGCAATCTCTTGGTCACTCAAAAGGATGAGCCCTGGGGCATTCATCTGTTTTTCTGTTTGAGACATGTTGCTCCTGTTACGGTGAGGGGCGGAGCCTTAGGTGTTCACTGGGGCTGGGCACCCCAGTCTCTAGGTTGTGACGTTGTATGTGGGGGCGGGGGCAGGAGGGAACAATGGTGGTACCTCTGCTCTCCCAGGATCCCAGTCCCCTCCCTGGGATCCTGGACTGTGCGCTCTGCCCTGGTTCACAATCGCAGCCTCACTGGGTTCGCCAGATGCGGCTTGCGTACTCAGGGTCCACCCACTGTGATCCTGCACGCCCCGGTGGCCTACGGATGGCTCACACGCTCCCCGGTTGCCCTCTGCACCCAGTACTTCCTGTTCTCCGCACTCTGCAACCAGGCCGGCTGCTGCTTGTCTCCGCCCCTCCTACCGGTCTGGATGAATGGGTCTACTTCAACTTCTTGGCTGTCCGACTTCTGTCCAGATAAATTCTCTGTCAGTTCTAGGTGTTATTCTGCCTCTAAATTGTTGTTGTTCTAATCTTGGTTGTACGTGGAGGTACAGTGCGTCCACCTATGCCTCCATCTTGCTGGAAGTCCCCACAAAATCTTTTATTACAAAATCATAAGCATGGAACTGGGTAACGTAACAATATCACACTCAAGTGTTCCATATGACATTTTAGGTAAAATGTTCAAATTAAAATGATAAACTATTACACCCCATTATTACCCTACCAACCACACTCAAGCAGGCCTTACTTCTGCTGGACCCTGTATATTGATGTGAATTATTTTTAAGTGGTTTTCATATCTTAGAGGTTTTTAAGCTTTTTCAGAATGTGAAGTATCTCAGCATCCTAAATTCCTTCTAGGTGATATATTTTAATGACATCATTTGAATTACAGTTTAACTCAATATGAAAACTATTTGAAGTTCTTCTGAAGTGGCAGATCTGGTTAACTTTATACATCCTGTAGTGGTGTATATGTCCATGAAAAACTCAAGCTGTTAAGCTAATTAAGAATGCTTTATTATAAGTTTCCCCATGAATATGTGTTTGCCATGTATTAATTCATTTTGCATTCTGCTAGGACATTAAATAAGTAGTAGTAGGCACCCATGATGGTTTAAAAAAATTATGGGAGAAAAAGGACTGAAAATTGAAAAAATTTTACTAATTTCAGCTTTTACCCATTGTGAAAACACTGATATTTAGTTTTTCACATTGGAACAGTGTAGTCTAGTTCATATTGATATAAACAGGATTCCAGGGAGCATGGTTTGAAGAATACTGTTTTATAGAGTATAGCTATTTCTTTTTTTCTCAGAATTATACATATAGAAGTAAGCTAGATTTTGTTTGTGTGTTTGTAATATAAACACTCTTTGAAACCATTTTAATTACTGGTTGTTGAAAAATAATTTATCACTCTGAAACATGCTCATATTTTTAATAACCAGATATTCAGCTGTTGTCCCATCTTATAAAAATTTGTATCTGTATCTCATTTTAGATGACTTCAAACCTGCATCTGTTGACACTTCTTGTGAAGGAGAGCTTGAGGTCGGCAAAGGCGAACAGGTGACAATAACTCTGCCAAATATAGAAGTGAGTATTTCTATATATTGAGACTAAGGGGATATTTTTGTAAGATTTCCACTAAATTTAAATAAAATAATTACACAACTCATGTAGTGATAGTTAAAGTAATTAATACACACAGAAGGAAAAAAAACCCCTTTATTTTGGGTAAAATGACCTAAACATATTTTAATCTATTTTTAATTACATTTTATTGATTATGCTATTACAGCTGTCCTAATTCTTCCCCTTTTGTTCTTCTCCACCTAGTGCCCCTTACTCCTTCAGGCAATCCTCCAGCATTGTTCACATCCACGGGTCAAGTGTATAAGTTCTTTGGCTTCTCCATTTCCTATACTGTGCTTTACATCCCCATGGCTATTCTATAACTACCTATTTATACTTCTTAATCCCCTCACCTCATCACCCACTCTCCCTCTCCCACTCCCATCTGACAACCACATGGAAACTAACTTCTTTTCTCTAGCTGCTTTTAAGTCTCTCTTTATCTTTAATTTTTGGCCTTTTAATTATGATGTGTCTTGAAGTAGGCTTCATTGACCCATCATAATTGGGACCGTATGTGTTTCTTGGACTTGCATGTCTATTTCCTTCACCAAATTAGGGAAGTTTTCTTCCATTATTTTTTCAGATAGATTTCCAATTTCTTGCTCACTCTCTATTCTTCTTCTCACACCCCTGTGATGTGAATATTGGACTTCTTGATGTTGTCCCAGAGGCTGCCTACACTAGCCTCACTTTTTTTTTTTTTTGGATTATTTTTTCTTCTTGTCTGCATGGTGGTTTTTTGCTTCCTTGTGTTCCAAGTCATTGACTTGATTTTCAGCTTCATCCACTCTACTACTGTCTCCCTGTAAAGGGTTCTTTATTTCACTTAGTGTATCCTTCATTTCTGACTGGATCATTTTTATGCTGCTGATGTCCTCACTAATTCCTTAAACATCCTTATAACCAGTGTTTTGAACTCTGCATCTGATAGATTGCTTGTCTCCATTTTGTTTAGCTCTTTTTCTGGAGGTTTGACCTATTCTTTCATTTGGGCCATGTTTCTTTGTCTGCTCATTTTGGCAGCTTCCCTGTGTTTGTTTCCATGTATTAGGTAGAGCTTCTTTGACTCCATGTCTTGGTAGCATGGTCTAATGCAGTAGGTGTCTTGTAGGGTCCAGTGACACAGCCTCCCCTAACACCCAAGTGGGTACTTGAGGTGTACCCTTAGTGTGGGCTGAATAAACCCTCCCCTTGTAGTTGAGCCTTGGTTGCTGTTGGCAGGTCAGTGGGAGGGATTTTCCCAGGCCAGTCAGCTGTAAGGATTGGCTGTGACCACCTACCACCAACCTCCACTCTCTGTGGAGGATCAGCTGAGCAGGGCCAGAGTGTTGGTGCTCAGACATGCTCTATAGCTGTCCACTGGGTACACTGGGCCTGGGGTTTCCCAGGTATCTTGGGCCAAGGTCAGCCCCCACCTGTGTTTTGCCTGAGGCCACCCTGCCTGGGCTATAAAGTTACGTGAGGTGGTGCTGCTTATATGAGGCTTGGAGACACCCAGGTGAAGAGAAGCTGTGCTAGTTTTAGGCCTGGGGCTCACTGAGGCCAGCTTGTTTGGGAGGATTTTGGAAGTTGTGCAGCATGAGCCAAGATGTGGTGGTCATACAGAAAAGCAGCTTGGGTAGGCTCTTAAGTTGGGTGGGGCAGAGTCTCTGGGCATCTTCAGGGCAGCTCAGAAAGTGTTAGCCAGGTCAACAGAGTGTCAGATATGGCTCCAGCTTGCCAGCTTTATGGCTCCATTTGGGGAGGGTTTAGAAGCAGGACAATGGCCTCTGCTTGCTTTGATGCCAGACACTTCACTTTCTCTCAGTATGCCACTGGTGCCTTTCAGGCTGCTACCCTGGTGCTGAAGCTCAGAGTGAGTGAGTCTGAGGAAGTTTGTGGTGGTTTATTTAAAAAGAACTTCTTAGGGCTCCAGGAGTTCTTCCACCAACTCAATACCCAGTGGTTTTTGCTGCCAGGAGTTCTGGGGACTTACCTTTTTGGCAATGGAACCCTGGGCTGGTGGTCCTGGTGTGGGGCTGGGATTCCTCACTCCTGAGATATCTCTCTGGAATTTTTACCCACCACACATGGATATGGGACCAGCCCATTCCACCCTTGCACCCCTCCTACCAGTCTGGATGGATGAAATTTCTTTAATCCATAGTTGTCAGACTTCCATTCAACTCCATTTTGTGGTTGTCAGACTTCCATTTAGCTCAATTTCTGATGTTTCTGAGCTATGGTTGTTCTATATTTTAGTTGTAATTTTGATGTGGTTGTGCAAAGAGAGAGCCAGGTCTGCCTATGCTGCCATCTTGACTGAGAGTCTTAATCTATTTAAAAAGTTTCAACAGTTATATCAAATAACTTGATATAACTAGATATCCAAATGAATATTTTTTTAATTACTTCTATAAGTCAGATTGTATATTCCAAGTGAGGAATAATAACATATCCCCTCCCTTCTAGTCCTAGTCTGTAAAAGCAGGTAGACATGTAAACATGTATTATTGTAAGTTAGAGCATGTACAAAATTCTGTGTAAGCTCATAAGTGGAATCAAATACTCTGTTTTGTGGAATCTTGGAAGGCTTCAGTGAGGGTGCTGTTTGAGCTGAGCCTTAAAGGACAAGTCAAATATCAGGTAGAAAGAGAATAGAATTTTCTGGGCAGAAGAAATGGTATGTGAAAGACTACTGGTGAAAGAGCAATAAGTTTGTGGAATAAATGAATTAATGTAGTACATTACAGAATAATGAAATATAATTGATAGGAGTAGAATCCAGAAATGTAGGTTGGTATTAGATTGTGAAGAATCTTTTGTGTTGTAATATAATATTTGGACTTTATCTAGGTATTAGAGAACTATTAGAGATTTTTAATCAGAGCTGAGATAAATTTGTGCTTTTTGAATGATTTTACCATTAGTTTAGGGAATAGGGTGGAAAAGAAAGAGACTAAGGTCAGGGAGGCCTGATTTAAACATTTTAAATTTTGACCACTTTTTAAATTTCCAGATGTATCAAGGTAACACTATTTACATAATTATATGAGCTCTTTGTTTATATGCTCTTGTTTTTTCAGTCCTTGAGTTAGAAATTTCTTAGCATTCAGCTTAAGTTTTTTTTTCTTTTATACTAGATGATCTCTTTTCAGAGACCTGGTGATCTCTTTTCAGAGAAAACCAAGACTGTAACTTTAACGTAGAAAGAAAACACTGTATACTCTATTTTGAAAGCGAGTTGAAGTTGCCTAGGTGAAAGAAAGAGGAAAGGACATTTTAGGCAGAGACGAGAAAATATATGGGCTAAGATAAAGCAAGAAAAGAGTCTGGTACATTTGAAGAACTACATATAAGCCAATGTGGCTAGGTGAGAAGGGGTGTATACGAGGACATAGTGGGGTTAGAAAGGTATTTAGGAATCAGATAATAAAGGACTTTTGAATAATGTACAAGTGTTTGAACTTTATCCTGTAACTCTTAGACAGCTAGAATGAAAGAGAATTGGTAAAATTACCACCTGTCAATAGCAATTTTTTTTCTGCTGGGCTTATATTTCTCTTGTGAACAAGAAGAGCATTTACAGTCTCAAATGAACTTTGTGAATTTTTCCCTTTTAATTAAAGAACTTTAAACAAGTAGATTTATGTTTCTTCAGAGCTCTTAATTATGTGGGTACTTTATGAAAATGTAATGGTTATTAGTTTGAGGCATTTAGATTCTATTTTCTTTATGAATTCATTTTTGTCATCCTGGTAAAAATGCCTAGAAGCTTAGTCATCCCATTAAAACAGAACTTTTATTATACTATTCTTGGTGGTATAGCATATACTTGGTGGTATATCACCAGAATTATATCCACAGTATATCACCAAGTATATGCTATATGAAGGTTCTGGTGGCTGTTCAATTGGGTAGATTTTCTAATTTTCATTCCTCTAACGGTTTTTTTTGATAATAACAAACAGAAGAAACAAATAAAAATAAATATAGTATATAGCTCGTTAATATTGGGCATTACAAATCTCTCTTCTTTACAAACAATTCTATATGGTTGAATGGTATAAAATTTTAAAATGTTGAATTTTGAAAGGAATAGACTTACTTGACTATTATAATTTGTCTTTGGTGTAGCCCAACTTTAATATATTTTTAGTGCCAACTATCTTGTAGAGTACTTTTGTGGGCCTTGATGAAATAGCTCATGGGAAACTTCCAACTACAATTCCTATTATGCAGGAAAGGCATCACTAATAATTGCTTATGACTTTATCCTCAAACCCTGGACCTGTGAGAGTTCTGTATGTCTGGTGGGCTACTATGCCACTCTATATGACCCTCTTGAGCAGAGCGGGATGAACCAACTCTGATTTCCTTTCATTAAGTTTACTTAGCTCACGTGGGAAAATAGCCTACCACATTCTGGGGACTTCAGCCTATTTCACTACCAGAGCCCTATTTTAACAGCCTGTTACAGTTATATTTTTATTGAGAGAGAGAGAGAGTGAAACGTCAATTTTGTTGTTCCACTTATTTGTGCACTTATTGGTCGATTCTTGTATGTGCACTGACCAGGGATTGAACCCACAAGCTTGGCATATTGGGACGATGCTCTAACCAACTGAGCTACTGGCCAGGGCTTATATTTTTAAATGAATTATATCTTTTATCATTACATAATCAACATTTTTTATCCTGTTTTGGTGACTGTAAACCTTGTCTAATGTTAATATTGCCACCTTTGCTTTCTGTTTTCATGTTCATGGAATCTTGGTGTCTCTTTTATTTAGCTGACATTTTGTTTTAATTATATCTTTTGTTAACAGAATATTGTTTCATTTTTAAAGCTATTTTGACACATTCTATTTTTATTAGGAGAATTATATCCACAGTTTTTTGAAGTTGACATACTTGATTTTTATTTCTATTATTTTGTAGTAGGTTTATTGGTTATTTTACTTCATTTCCTTTTTGTTCTTTATTTAGTTTCAGGCATCTCTTCTTTCTTGCTTTTTCGCTTTTTTCTTTCATGCTACTTTGGGAATACTATTGTACTAGTACTATTCCATTCTATTACTGATTACTTTCCTTCCCTGGTATTTATAATCAGGCATGGTCACATTTGCCTGTCAGCAGATGAGAGAAACAAAACTGGAAGGAGAGTGTAGAGGAAGATAACACTACTCTAGGTGAGATGCTGATTGGGTTCCAAGTTGGGTAACAGCAGTAAACATGATAGGATATAGTCAGTGGTTATTTAGAGGCAAGGATAGTTCATATGCTTAGGGGTTTCCTGGTACTTTAAATCTTTAATACCCTTTCCTTGAGGTATGGAATAAGATACTGGGCAAAAATTAGAGTTAATATAAGAATGATGCTCAATTTCATGAGAAAAAAGTTTAATTTTTAAAAACTTGTTCAAAGTGTAAAAAGCAGGTATAGAAATTATGAAAGTCTTATTTAACTTGTTAGTTATGATAAATGTTCAGATTGTTTGTTTTCAACATTCGTTGAGTATCTGTGAAGGATGTGGTGGTTTAGGTGGTAAGAGCAATACAAAATATTTATGATCCAATCTTTATTCTTTAGTAACTTAGAGTACAATAAAGTATTGTAATTTTAAGATATATTCTATTCTAAGTAATAATGCAAATATATTTAAGAAGAATATATTGCATGAATCTCTTGTCAACCGTAATTTGGAGTCCTTGGGTTACTATTTTGGGGTATCACAGTCACTAGTCTTCAACTAGGACATTTGAAAAATATACTTAAACTCAGGCTCAGTTTGTTTTGTCAGTCATGCTTCACCAGTGCTTCACCCAAGAGCACCACATCTCACTCCTCTACATGTTCTTGTCTATGTGCTATGCATGCCTGATTTTCTGTAGATGATTTTAGTCTTAGATATGTGGTGAAAAATCGTTTCTTTTGGTTTTATCATTTTTCTCCTCCTATCTCCCAGAAGCATCTAATCTACCTCCATTTGTGCTATCCTTAATCACCAAATTTATCTCACAGCACTACTCCTTGTGGTCACATATTAAATCTCTAATGAAATTAAAATGACATTAAAATATGATATACCTTTTAATCTTTTTAGAAGTCACCCTTTTCTAACCTGATCTAATATTACTGTTGTACAAAATTATTATAATTAGTACTTTAAAAGTTTAATGCACTTTTATAAAGTTTAAAAACAAGCAACTGTAACATTTTATTGTTTGGGGATACATAAATATGGAATAAAGTTAGAGAAAAACATGAAATTCCTTCAAGATTGAGGAATGCAGACGTAGGATGGGGGAGAAACATGTAGCTGTAGTTTGTCAGTAATGATCTAGGTTTCTTTAACTGTTTATTAGGGAATAGTATAATGAACCCCCATATACTTTATCATCAAGGTGCAATAATTACTATTTTGCTATTTTTTACACATTCTCCTACCACTTTTTTCCTAATATAACTTAAAACAATCCCAAATTTTATGCCATTTCATAAGTGCTAATGTGTGCATGTCTAATTGACAAGGATTTTTTTTTAAACCTAAGTACCATGCTATTATCACATGAAGCAGAATTAATTATAATACCTAGTCCATACTCACATTTTCATAATCGTCTCAAAAAATGTTTTTCCCTTAGGAACCCAAACAAGATTCCTATAATATGTTGACATTATGTTCCTTAAGTCTCTTTTATTCTGAAAAAGTTCCTTCCCCTTTATATTCTATGACTTTGTTAGAGAAAACTGGTCATTTGTCTTAGAGAATATACTCATGTTCTGGGTTCAAATTACTCGTGTCTGGTGTTATTTAACTTGTCCCTTTATTCCCCATATGTCCTATAAACTGGTGGTTTATTTAAAGGATTGATGAGAGTTAGATTCTTTGTGGGGTTTTTTTGTTTTGTTTGTTTTTAGCAAGAATACTTTATAGGTGATGCTGCATACTTTCTTTTTTATCACATCATGAAGCACATAATGTCTGGTTGTCCCACTTTTAATGATGCTAAAATTAATCTGTGGGTTTAGTGTAACAGGTATTCCTTGATACATTAATTTTCCTTAATCTGCGTAGGGGAGCACCACTCTAAGAAAATACTTAAAAAGCTAAATGTATGAAGGAAGAAGAGGGATAGGAAGTATAATTCAGGGCTTCTACTGCCTTATCTGTAAAATATATTGGTTGTGTTAGAATAGAATCCCAATTGCCAGTTGTAGGCAAATGAAACAAATCTTTACTGTCTCAGGGAAAGTACTTCCTCCTATGCCCTATCCTCAAGGATAGTAGCTTTAAGATCTAGCCTCTCTTGATCTTGGACTTTTTACTAAATTTAGGTTGTTAAGTGACTTGAAGTACAACAGATTGAGAAACACAGATCTCAAAGTCCCTCCCAACTGAACTAATATAAATTTTAAGTAATGATAATTAACTTTTTAAACAGGGATCAACTCCGCCAGTAACTGTTTTCAAAGGTTCAAAGAAACCTTACTTAAAAGAATGCATTTTGATAATTAACCATGATACTGGAGAATGTCGACTAGAAAAACTCAGTAGCAACATCACTGTAAAAAAAACAAGGTATGTGGTTAACAAAACAAATTATTTTACCAGCACATAAATTGCTAAGGAAATGTCAGTGAAAAAAATTATTTGATTAAGTCGCATTATTATATAAGGGTTATTGCTGTGTGGTACAAAAATGTTTTAACCTTTTTCCAAGTTTAAATTTGGTGGAGAACCTTAGCCAAAAGCTCATAGGACTTTTCTTTTTTATATATAAAAGCTTCTTTTGTTCTGAATATTTCTATGTGTGTATATTTGTATACCTTAGTTTACTGTAGATGCTTATATAGAACTGGACTGAAAAGAGCCATTGTATGCTCTTCAGTGTAATTTCATCTTGATTAGTAAGAATTTATTGAAACCTAGAAAATATGTAAAGGAAAGTTTTCTCTATAAGTATTGAAATTTCTGTATTTTAATTGGATTAACATTGTTTTATTAGGAAGGTCAATAAGAGAATATAGCCATCTCATATCCTTTTTTGGAACCAGGAGAGTGCCTTGATTACCACGTAATGTAATGGACTTGCTCTAAAAGCCATTCAAATAGTATGGACAAAAATTGGTCCAGGAATTAAAGAAAGGGAAAAGTTATGGTTGGTTGGAGCATATCAGGGAGCCCTTACTGATATAACTTGAGAGAAGGTTAGATTTAGGACTTTTTCCTCCCCAAATATACTTGATAAGAATTACCTTTAGTGCTTATAAAAATGAGTTCTCATATCAGATTTCAAATTAGGAAGGAGCCTGGGAAGTTCTATTTTTCATTACCCTCTCCCTCCAGGTGGTTTTTATTGGTAGGAAAGTTTGAAAACAAGTGATTTAATTGATCAGAAAGAACATGAGGATGTAAGCAAGGTTTGAAGGTAGGTATATATATCTGACTTATTTGGGGCCAATGGATAAGACCTGTTTGAATAGAGCAGAGATTTGTCTCTGTGCCTGCATATAAATAAATATTGGAAAGTGAGGGGTGTGGTTGATAGTGGCTTAGAAGTAAGGTCATTAAAGGTAGGTTGAAGCTAATGCCTTCAATATTAACTATGAACTTAGGACATTGTCTTAAGGGCTCCATAACAGTACTGAAATTTTTTAAACTAGGGAATAAATTTTTTTAATGAATGGTTCAAAACAAAAATATTTTTAATTCACCAAATTGAGTATAATGAAACTATAAGGGCAGCAGAAACGCATAAACCACAGTTTTGAGAAGAGGAAGGAAGAGAAAAGTGAAGTGCTAAATACTTAGTTAAGGAAGAACTAACAGGATTTGGTGACGGGAAATAGGAGAGGCAGAAATCAAGCATAATTGTATTATATAGACTTCTTAAAAGAATTGAAAGGAAAGAAAGTAAATGAATCTGCTTTAGTAATGTGCCTTAACGTAATGAATGAAAAATGTGAAAGCGATTTAATTTTACAGAAATGATCATTTTATAATTTAGGGAATACATTTGCACCTACTATACACTAAGGTATATTTTATTGTTGGCATTTGTGTATTTTTTTTTTTTTCCTTACCCAAGGACATTTTTCATTGCTTTTAGAGACAGGAAAGGAGAGGGGTGTAGGGGAGTGGCATGGAGAGAGAGATATTGATGTGTGAGAGAAACATCAATTGGTTGCCTTCTCCTTTGAGCCCTGACCAGGAATCAAGCCTGCAACCTTTCAGTGGTATGGGACAACATTCCAACCAACTGAGCCAGGGCCATTTGTGTAGGTTTTATCTCTTTAATTTTGAGCAGTAATTTTGTTTTTATTCATGTCTGTACCCCTTAATGGAAGTGTGTATATGCCATGCATAAATAGCAGGAATCCATAAACATTTGTAAATAATAGATTAGATTAATGTTTTAATTCTTGAAAACCATTTAAAGATGTCTAGGGAAAGGAATAAGTGGTTAATTTTAGTAACTTTGTAAGTTGAAATTGTTATTACATTGCCCTCATAACTGTTTTGACCTGCTTTTGACCTATGTCAAAAAGCATTTTAACATACATGTTTTTAATTGCAGGGTTGAAGGAAGCAGTAAAATGCAGTCTCGTGTAGAGTATCAGCAGCAACATCGTGTAGAGCATCAGCAGCAACAAATGCGGAATTTAACGAGGACCCCCAATCTTGTAAAACATTCTCCACCAGAAGACAAGATGTCTCCAACATCTTCGATGGATGATATTGAAAGAGGTAAAATCTAGGTATATATATAATATTCCTTTATAAGGAATGATTAAGAATAAGTAAAAACTTTCATTTTAATTAACAGGGGAACTAATTATAAAGTTTTATTGAGCGCGAAGTATTTTTTTATTATGGGTTTTCTTGCAGGGAGAAGAGCATAGTTTATGATTTAGGGTATTATGTAATTATGTATCTATATAAGAGAATTCTTATGTTCTCATTCAGGGGGAAAGTATTTAGATGTGTGTAACTGGAGTTTTCTTCTTTTTGACAGTTGTGATGATTCAAATTCAGTTCTTCACAGCATTTCCTGTGGAAGTTATTTATGCATAGCCAGACTATAGATGTCTAAGATGTCACCAAAACAATAGTGAAGTGAGGAGATATAGTAAGCGGAAGCAGCAGGCAGGTTCTGAATTGCTGCTCACTTCTCAGCAGGAAGGTGTTTCTAGAGAGGCACAGTCCTTCTGAAAGTAAGGAAATTTAAATCTCCATTTTTTTCCCTAGCTGCAGTGTGGGTGTTGGTGTTATAGTTAGTTGTGGTAGAAATAAGACCCTGGTCACCAAAAATATATTTGCTTCTACATTTTTCCTTCATAACTCACATGTAGTAGTCCAATTCCAGCTGCTCCCTTCTAGGCCCAGTAGAGTATTAGTTCTTTAATATATGTGTTCCTATTACTAGTAGTAAGGAAGGTAAAGCTCAGAACCTTTATTGTGAAAAGGAATCTTGAATTTTATTTTATCATGTCTGCTTCCAAAATGGATTTTAATCATGGTATCATTAATATACATGTATACAGTAAAATACTGGAAAAGAAAAACATGGTGTTAAAGGGAAAGAAGAAGCAACTTTGTTAACTTATAAAACATTAAATTTAGATGTGAGTTTCCTAGTCACTAAGGCAAAAATAGAGACCAAAGTAGTATATTTTGTGTTATTTAAACGACAGGTTCCAAAGATTTAAACTCTTTCCTGCTACTAAATTCTAAAAGGAGTTCATCATGTGGAACCTATTCTAGGGAATATTAAATGATACAGTATTTTCAACAATAATTTGACAATATGGAAGTTCCTCTATGTGTCAGTTTTTTAGCAGAGACCTTAATAAAAACAGTGCATTGAAGCATTGTACCATAGAGGATAAGTTAACATGATCCAAGCATAAGATCTAATTTTGTATGAGAATTTACACTGAGATGTTTGTGTACCCTGTCCCTTTGACAGTCTTCTTTTAAATATTTTCTTGACCCTTCTCTGCCAATGTCTCCTCCTGTGGTTGAAGCATGTTTTCAGATTTATATCTAGATGTCTGAAACTTATATTAGTGTTTCTGTGGTTTAACGTTCACATTTACATCTTTGAGCTATGTAGAATTTTAGTTTAAGGAATAAGAATTCAAACTTCCATCCACCCCAGCAGTCACAATAAATAGTATTGATAGAGAATCTACAAATATTGTATTGATAGAGTATATATCAATACCATTAATTTGAACAAGTCATCATTTCTTTCCCTGATATGGAAAGCCAATTTTATCACATGCAAAATTTCTATATGGACTTAAGTCTGTCTCACAACATAAAATATACAATGGTCAATAAAATCATGGTGAGGCAAAAGGTTTACTGTATTAAGTATGCAAAACAGCATTTATTGTATTATTATTTATCAATTATTATATTATTTTTCACACGAACAACTGTAAATCCACTGTTGCTCTACCCTGTATATAACAAATTAATCAAACTCACTAATACTTTAAAATGCAATTTTAAGATTAAGAGGTAGGTAGTTTTTCATTTATGAGGTTGGCAGTAGCTAAAACATTTGTTAACATCCAGCAGTTGTAAGAACAAAAGGGGACAAAGAGGGGAAAAAGGGGGACATCTGTAATAATGTGAATGATAAAAATAAAATTTAAAAAGTAAAAAATAAATAAAAATTGATATGCACATTACAAAAAAGGAACATGAAGCAAGTATGTATGTACATTTTTTTAAAGAAATTCTTTTTTTATTTTAGATTTTATTTATTTATTTTTAGAGAGAGAGGAATGGAGGGAGAAAGAGAGGGAGAGAAATATCAATGTATGGTTGCCTCCCACATGGCCCCTACTGGGAACCTGGCCCATAACCCAGGCATATGCCCTGACTGGGAATCGAACCGGTGACCCTTTGGTTCGCAGTCTGTGCTCAATCCACTTAACTACACCAGCCAGGGCTATTCATGCATTTTTGAAAGATTTTATTTTATTTTTAAATTTTTTAAAAACTGTTTATTCTGTTTACAGTTGTCCCAGTTTTTTTACCTTTTGTTCTCTCCATTCAGCCTACCTCTCACTCCCAGAGTCAGTCTCCATTCCATTGTCCATGTCCATGGATCATTCATGTATGTTCTTTGACTAATCCCTTCCCCTTCCTTCCATCATTCCCCCCTTACACCTCCCTTCTTACAACTGTCAGTGTGTTCATGTTTCCATGTCTCTGTTTCTATTTTTCTCATTGACTTACTTTACTCATTAGATTCCATTTATAAGTGAAACCATATGGTGTTAGTCTTTCACCAATTGGCTTATTTCACTTAGCATAATAATCTCCAGTTCCATCCAAGCTGTTGCAAAAGTTAGGAATTCCTCATTTTTTCCTGTTATATAGTATTCCATTGTGTAAATGTACCACAGTTTTTTTAATCTTCTCATCTACTGATGGAGACTTAGGCTGTTTCAAACACTCGACTATTATAAATAGTGCTGCGATGAACATTGGGATGCATACGTTCTTTTGAATTGGTGTTTCAGGAATCTTAGGGTATATTCCCAGCAGTGGAATCACTGGTCAAAAGGCAGTTCCATTTTTAATTTTGAAAAAAATTCTATGCTGTTTTTCACAGTGGCTACACTAGTCTGCATTCCCACCAACAGTGCACTAGGGTTCCCTTTTCTCCACATCCTCACCAGCCCTTGTTTGTTGATTTATCAATGATGGCCATTCTGACTGGTGTGAGGTGATATCTCATTATGATTTTAATTTATATCTCTCTGGTGGCTAGTGATGTTTAGTACTTTTTCATATGTCTATAGACCATCTGTATGTCCCCCTCGGTGAAGTATGTATTCATGTCCTTTGCCCATTTTTAATTGCATTGTTTTTTCTTGGTGTTGAGTTCTATGAGTTCTTTTTATATTTTGGAGATTAAACCCTTGCCTGATATATTATTACCAAATATGTTCTCCCATACAGTTGGTTTCCTTTTGTTTTTCATGATGATTTCCTTAGCCGTGCAGAGGCTTTTTGGTTTGATGTAGCCCCATTTGTTTCTTTTTCCTTTATTTCCCTTGCCCAAGGAGATATATCAGCAAAAATATTGCTACATGGGATGTCTGAAATTTTACTGCCTATGTTTTACGCTAGGACTTTTATGGTATCATGACTTATATTTAAGTCTTTTATCCATTTTCAGTTTATGGTGTAAGTTGGTGGTCTAGTTTCATTTTTTTGCATGTACCAGTCCAATTTTCCCAGCACCATTTGTTGAAGAGACTGTTTTTACTACATTGTATGCTTGTGTCCTCTTTGTCAAATATTAATTGACCATAGAGACATGGGTTAATTTCTGGGTTCTCTATTCTATTCCATTGGTATATGTGTCTGTTCTTATGCCGGTACCAGACTTTTGATTATGGTGGCCTTGTAGTACAATTTGATATCAAGTATTGTGATCCCTCCGACTTCATTGTTCTTTCTCAGGATTGTGGAGGCTATTCAGAGTCTTTTTTGGTTCCATGTAAATTTTTAAAATATTCTAGATCTGTGAAATATGTCATTGATATTTTAATAGGGATTGCATTGAATCTGTAGATTGCTTTGGGTAGTATAGACATTTTGGAAGACATGTTAATTCTTCCAAACCATTAACTTGGTATATACTTCCAATTATATGTATCTTCCTCAATTTCTTTCTTCAGTGTCCTATAGTTTTCTGAGTACAGGTCTTTTACATCCTTGGTTAAATTTATTCGTAGGTACTTTATTTTTCTTGTTGTTACAGTAAATGGCATTTTTTTCTTAGTTTCTCTTTCTGATAGTTCATTGTTGGTATACAAAAATACCATCATTTTCTGTTTATTGATTTTGTATCCCTTTGCTGATTTCACTTGTTAGGTAGAGTAATTTTTTGGTGGATATTATAGGGTTTTGTGTGTACACTATCATGTAATCTGCAAATAATGACAGTTTTACTTCCTCTTTCTCATTTTGGATGCTTTTTATATCTTTTTCTTGTCTAATCACTGTGGCTGGAACTTCTGGTACTGTATTGAATAAGAGTGGTGAAAGTGGCACCCTGTCTTGTTCCTTATCTTAAGGGAAATGCTTTTAGTTTTTGTGCATTGAGGATGATACTGGCAGTAGGTTTCTCATATATATCATTTACTATATTGAGGTATGCTCCCTCTCTTGCCACTTGGTTGATTGTTTTTATCATAAATGGGTTCTGTATTTCATCAAATGCTTTTTCAGCATCTATCGACGTGCTCATGTGATTTTTCTTTATTTTGTTTGTGATGTATTATATTAATTGATTTGCAAATACTGTACCATCCTTGCATCCCTGGGATAAATCCCACTTGATCGGGGTATATGATTTTATTGTTTTGTTTGTTTTGTATTTTAGTTGTTATTCTATTATAGTTATTCCAGTTTTTCCCCTTTTGCCCTCCTCTGCCCAGCCCACCCCACTGCTCCCACTGTTAATCCCCACACTGTTGTCCATGTCCATAGGTCATTCATACATGTTCTTTGACTAATCTTTTCCCCTTCTTTCCACTATTATCCCCTTCCCCCCTCTCCTCTGGTCACTATATGATATTTTTAATGTATTTCTGGGTCCAATTGACAATATTTTGTTGAGGATTTTAGCATCTATGTTATCAGAGATATTGGCCTGAAGTTTTCTTTCTTTGTTGTGTCTTTACCTGGTTTTGGAATTAGGATAATACATGGCT